AGCAGAAAGCCTTTCAGTCACACCTGACCCTTCGCTCATTTCATAACTAACCCAACAACCTGCCCTGCTGACTCTCCCTTCCAAGTGGATTCAGAAACCACCCTGTGTCCTCAATGCCTTCTCCGTCCACTGTCTCAGCATCGACTTCCTCAGGGCCTTCCAACTGGACCCCTGTCCGTGCACATCAACGGGCTCAAGTCCCGCTGACACTCAGCCCTCTGACCCCAGCCCGCAACAACCAGCCTCCTGCCCTCTTCTCGGGGACCCGCAGCGCTCCTGCCAGGGGCCCCCTTCCTGCATCTGCATGGCTTCCCCATCATTCCCCAATCCACCTACTGTACTTTATTTTTCTAATTAACTGATCACCTATTTATTATATGTTTATTTTCTTTCTTCCACTATTATGCAAATCCCTTGAGAAGCTTCCTGGATTTTGCTTGTGGCTGTTTCCCTGAAATGCCCAGTGAGTATTTAGTAAATGTTTTTTGAAAGTTAGCCAGCATCCATAAGCCAAGATCCTAAACTTAACACAGTAAGACTGTATCACACACAGTAAGCCCTAAATTCTAGCTATTATAAGGGATAATAATTTAAAATATGAATATTGAACAGCATATTATGAATATAAAGCATCTGAAACATTTTATGACCACTCGGCAGTTTGGTCTGAAGTCATTTAACAATTACCTACATCTGTGAAAACTTTTCTCTCCAAAAATTTAATCTGGAAGGATTCACTAATACAGCAGGCACAGGGGTTGGTCTGAGGTTAAATTAAGCTCACAGGCTGTACAGGAGCCCTTCTGGGGTCAGCGCAGTGTTGGGTGTCCTGGTGTCCTGGGCGGAGGCACCCTCCCAGCCCCCACGGCTGCGGCACTTCTCCCCGCACTTCCGAGCCCATCTCCCACTTCTAACACAGACCATCTCCTCCGCTGCCCTGTGAGAGGTGCTCAAACTCAATTATTGTCACATTGCTTGTTCAGAAGCCTCCCAAAACTCCCACAACTCACCAAACTGAGACACGCTCCAACCCGAGTATGCCATTCGAAGACCTCAAATGACCCTTTCAATATTCTCTCCATTAAAGAGGCATCTTGTGGAGAACTAGCCAGCTGTATTTTTCAAAAATAACAGGTATTTCCCAATCTTTACTCCTGTTTGTTTCTTCTGTTAGAATAAAGGTCCCGCCTTCACGCCCACCCATCCCATCGCAGGGGCCCAAGGCCTCAGGGGGAAGGTGGATTTCCTGTGGTGCTCAGAGGTGGCCTTCGAGCTCAGCCCCAAGGACTTCTGCTAATTGCTTTCACCTGGACGATGACAGTCACAAGAGCCCTAAGCCCACAGTGCAAGTGTGGAGGGGGTGGACAACAGGTGCTGTGCTGTGTTTCTTTTTCTGCCTGTGGCGCCATCAACTATGAATGCTTGAAAAGGAAAAGGGGCTTGAAAAGTAACATCTCAACTGACAGATTATTTAAAAGAGCATCAAGGAAATACTTGTTTTGCTGGACAACTTACTGACATTGGTGGGAGTCAATAACTAATGTCAGTAAATTGTCCAACAAATCTAGTTGCACTGAAGGAAAAGAATAAACCCTGAACCACCGGAGGAGGAGAGACACGTTCCTCCTGTAGGATTAACTAAGACTTCTGCATAAACGCAAACTTCTGCTTCTGCTGACAAATACCAAGGGCCACCAGCACGGCAGCTCGGTTACATGCCAGCGGGAAGACCTTGTTTCCTTGATGTTGGGAATGAGGGGAGCACCCACAACCAGAAGGAGGGCAGCTTTCCCCAAACAGCTCTCCAGGACACCACAAAGGGCCAAGGAAAATGAAACCAAACCTGTCAACCACTGCCTGCTGATTTGAGTGGAGATGGAAGGCTGCTAACACCGGAAGAGACCCAGAGGGGTGATGTCCTAGGCAGGAAAAGACAGTATTTGGTGCAAACGTGAGAGAATTTTCTCCTCCAAAAAGAAACATGTGATATGAAATACAGGATATAGCTCAACTATCAGGACACAGACTGAGACCCTCAGAGCAGCCGACAAATGACAGAGACAGAGACACTCTGTCACATCCAAGACTGTCTCTCTCCAGACATGTCAACTGCAAGCTTCACACTTCAACGAGAGGGGCAAGAAAACTGAGCCCCTAAATCAGGACCCCTCTCAAGGTCCAAAATGAGACTCCAAGTTACAAGTGTAAACAGACAGATGTCATAGGTGACGGGATACCGAGGACACCATATCGCCTTCTTGGCTGGAGGAAGAGGGTCAGTCCCTGTAGTAAACAAGTGCTGACCTAAGTAACTTTGGAAATGAGTAGAATCTGCGAGATTACAAGAAGCACTGCCCCGAAGCACTGTACTCTAGTTGGTAAAGCTGTTTCCCATGGGGATATGTGTCATAACAAGCCTGACACTGCTGGACCCGGCACTGGAACTGGACAGTCACCTGGTGGATGGCAGATGTGGGAGCCGGCTTCTCTCTCTGCTGCAGCTGCACGGGGAGCTCACAGAGAAGCGAGGACGGGCCACGAAGCAAGTGGCCTGGGAGACCTCAGTATGAACTCATGATTAGCCTTACATAGCGACGATTAATACATAAATTATTTATACACCTTAGTACACACACATACGTCTCCTTGCGCTATCAGCTGAGAGAGCCCAGAAGCAAAAATAACCCAAGAGCAAAGTGCACACCTAGCACCCAAATCTCAGTTTTCAATACCGTTCTCCAATAAAAGAAACCTGAGCTTCTTGGAGAAATGGCAGATTCTAGGATAGGGGTTGGAACTGTAGTAAATGGAGGACCTTTTAGTGTCTGAAAGTAAGGAAGCACTCAAAAACAAAACAAAACAAAACAAAGCCACCCCATAGGGCTTCCCTGGTGGCGCAGTGGTTAAGAACCCACCTGCCAATGCAGGGGACATGGGTTCGAGCCCTGGTCCGGGAAGATCCCACATGCCGCAGAGTAACTAAGCCCGTGTGCCACAACTACTGAGCCCGTGCTCTAGAGCCAGCAAGCCACAACTACTGAAGCCCACGCACCTAGAGCCTGTGCTCCGCAACAAGAGAAGCCACCGCAATGATTAGCCCGCGCACCGCAACCAAGAGTAGCCGCGCTCACTGCAACTAGAGAAAGTCCGTGTACAGCAACGAAGACCCAACACAGCCAAAAATAAATAAATTTTTTAAAAAAGCCACCGCATAGCCAAATGATACAGTTCCCAATGGCCAAAGCTGGAACAACTTGAGTAACAAAATAAATAAACTATTGGATTATAAAAGCATAAAAATGCATAAAAGAATAAAACAATAAATATTTATAAATATAAATAAATAAAAAGAATAAATGAATCCAATGAAAAACTGTGCTGTGAGGGCATCATCTGTGGCTCAGCGGAGGGTCACTCTTTAGTGCAGAGAGGTCTGGACTGAACAGAGCTCAGCAGAGGAGGGGCGGGTCCGCGGCCCCCGGGAGGCATCGCTAAGGAGCAGCCCGCAAGGTGCGGGCTCGGGCGGCACTCAGACCACAGGCCTTCTATGCGCCTGTGCTACATGAAGGCCATAAAGGGGTCCTAGTGGTGGAGGCTTTTTTGTTTGGGGGAAATTTATCTCCCGTTTGTTTAGGCTACTTGTGCCAGAGAAACACCTGCAGGGCACACACTTAGTGGCCCTTTGTACAGACACCTTGGGAAGGCACGGGCTCTGCTCAAGGAGCTGAGAGGCTGGGACGCTCCTTGCCGAGGAGGTGCCTAAAGCTGCATATTTGGAAAAGCCAGGTCTCCCGCACTGAACTTTCAGAAAGGGTGGAGGTGGCTTCCCTGGTGGCGCAGTGGTTGGGAGTCTGCCTGCCGATGCGGGGGACGCGGGTTCATGCCCCGGTCCGGGAGGATCCCGCATGCCGCGGAGCGGCTGGGCCCGTGAGCCATGGCCGCTGGGCCTGCGCGTGCGGAGCCTGTGCTCCGCAGCGGGAGAGGCCACAGCGGTGAGAGGCCCGCGTACTGCAAAAACAAAAAAACAAAACAAAAACAAAAAGGGTGCAGGGTGCACAATGGTGTCAGTCATGAAGAAGTTTAAGAATTTGAAGAGCTGCAACCAAGAGGCAGCGCCACTGTGTATCTGCCGTCACATCCGGTTCTGTGCAGGCCCTGCAGGTAAGAGAAGGAAGAGCTGGATTTAACCAGGACTGGCTGGAGGTGTCAGAGGAAGGGCAGCAGTGGTGGTGGCCAGCCCTGGCATTCCTCCCAGGGAACCCCTGCCTCCTCATCCTTCAGCCCCATGCCATCTCCCCTCCTCCAAGGCGAGCATCTGTGGCTTGCTTCTGACCCCACAAGACAGCAAGGGTCACGGGATGACGCCAAGGTGATGCTCAGTGTCGGTGCATCCCAAGATGTCTTGGAGGAAGCAAGCGGCCGCATGGAGGGCTCCCGTGGCAAAGAATTGAGGGGTGGCTTCCCATCCACACGACAGGCGATCGTGGCAGCAGATCCCCCCACTTCTGGAGTTGAACCTTCCGAGGCCACCGCAGTCCCCACCAGGCCTGGCCGCGGCGGTGCACAGCTCCTGCCCAGGGGAATTGAGATAAGGAGCACGTGCGGCTTTAAGACGCAAAGTTCACACCCGATGCACGCTGTTACACATCAGTCTTATGCAAGAGAGGAACTATAACCGACCATGAAAATGAAAGTGGGTCAGGAAGATGCGCATGTAGGAACCGAGAAAGCTGAAGAATTCGTGTGTGCACATCCGGGGAAGGAAGGTTGCCGGAGCTCAGGTGCCGGGAGTAAAAGCTGGCGATGCTCAGAGTGCTGGGCTTCACGTTAAAGTCATGCAGGTTTTGCACCTGTTGGTAAACGACAGGTCTAGGCTTTTTCTCACTGCGTCGCACTTAGAAGATACTAACAACACAAACTTGTACAGCCTTCTCAGGAACTAACAGACCTGTCTTTCCCTGCTCAGCTGCGGGATCAATTTCTCAGTTCAACTGTTCGTCATGACACCCCACACGCTAAGCCCTGGCCTGCAGTATGGACATGTCGCTAAGCGGCTTATCACTAATCATTCTGGACCAGTCATCTTGCTACTCAAACCACATCACCAGAAAACTTAGTGGCTTAAAATAACAACAAACGTGTTTTCTCTCACAACTCTGAATCAGGAACTTGGGAGCTGTCCGGCCTCGGGGCTTTCGTGAGCTGTCACCAGATGCTGGCTAGGGGTTCCATCATCTAAGGACAGGGGGTCATGTACACAGTGAGCACACAGGTGCTGGTGTCAGCCAGTCGGTCCCTTCTACAGGGGTCTCTACAGGGCTGCCGGAGCGTCCTTGCACTGCGTGACACGCGACCCAAGAGACCAAGGCTGAGGCTGTTCTGTCCCAGCCTCAGAAGGCACACACCATCCCTCCCGCTGGGTTCCACAGGCCACGTGGGTCAGCCTGACTCTGAGTGGGAGGGGACAAGGACCACTGAGACGTCTGGGAGGCTGGCTATTTCATACTCTTTTAAGTTGCAGTTACTGACGGCCACTAATACTAAGCTTGTCTCTGAAATCCAGCAACAACATCCAAATTTCTATCTCCCTGGTCAAATAACAGCTTCGCTCTATTCAGATGGCTTTCTTTAAAAAAAAAAAAACAGAAACGACTGGGGGGAGGGGGGTGATTTTTAAATGTCACTTATAATTGACAGTTTCAACAGTCCTCTCCCAGTAATTGATAGAGGTGCCTCCTCCCAGCAAATAACTAAAAAAAACTACACAGGATTGCTTGTTGACCAGATGGGTCAGCATTCTTATTCCTCAAACTAAAAAGAAACTATGAATATTGCTGAAATTCTTACTTACCTAGCAGTAAGAAGATAGAACAAAAGCTGACCTTTCCTCACAGTATAAATTTAAGTATAAAACTTTCTATTTTTTCAATTAAGAAGCACTTCACCGCACACCACAACAAAAGATCCCGCATGCTGCAACGAAGATCCTGTGTGCCACAACTAAGACCCGATGCAGACAAATAAACAAACAAACAAACAAACACGAAGCCCTTCACATATTGGTGCAAAATATTTTTAAAAAACTATAGTGTTTCACAACTGACGGCAACATTAGCTAACTCACACTAAGCTCTCACTACGTGGCAGGCACCGCGCTGCACTCTCTACATCCATTATCTCAGCTGACCCATTTGACAAATAAGGTGAAAGAAAAAGGAAGAGCCCTCCTGAGGCAACCTAACGGGCTGACGTCCGGCACAAACACCAGACCGGAATTAGCCTGAGTTAGAGAACTCCGGGTAGGACTCTTGGAGGAGGAGCTCAGCTTGTACAATTCTGAGGTGCAGAAAATTTCATCACAGACCAAAAATGTTATCGAAATTTAGATTCATATCAAGAAAATGTCTCTAAAGTCAAACTATCATTCTTATGTCAGTCATCTCCATATCCTTTACACAGAAAGGAGAATGTAGGGTTGATGCATCCATTTTGCACACAATAATAAACTACTCTAAATGACAATGTTGGAAAGATAGCATTGGCCAAATTTTACGGAACAGTCTCATAAATGGTACAAACTCTTTTAAAGGTAAGTTAGTAAAATTTATTAAATTTTCAAATGCACACCACTTCTATAAGTATGCTCACACATATTTTTATAACTGGCATGGAAAGACCTAAATATGAACCAGTAGCATTGTATGGAGGTGGAGGCAAGAAGATTTCTACATTTATTCAGTCAATAGACATTTGTGTGTCTACTGTATTTCATAAACAGGGAATTGACATGATGTATGGAAAGACTTCTCTGATTTCATAACCCTTACTGCTAGTGGGGAACACAGATAATCACAATTTTAAGTTTTTAAAACATTTACAAGACATGATGAGTCATCTCTTTTCTTCTGTCTCACTCCTCCCCAACCTCAACCCCAAGTGATCTCTCATCCTTTCTCGTGGCTTTAAGAAGTCCCTATACTCTGAAGGCTCCTAGAATTATCTTTCCAGCCTAGAACTCCACACTCTTTATTCAACTTCCTATACAGTAACCAATGTATAATAAACATCTCAAACTTAGCATTTCTAAAACCTGAATACAGACAACACCCATCCCACAAGTGTTCCTCCCCAAGCCCTCCCCACCTCAGTAAAGATCTACTTTACCTCCATTCCTTCAGTTTGGATGCTCAGGACAAAATCTTTAGTCTCACCCTCAACCCCTCTCTCTCACACCCCACATCCAACCCAATCACGAAACCTGCCATGTCTACCATTAACACCTAACCAATTCTTGCTACCTACCCTCACCACCCAGTTTTCTTTCCCCTCTCGCTCTTACGCCTGAGATCTTTAAAAAAGACCCCTTATGCCAAGACTGCCATCACAATCAAAATTCAAACTCAGGTCGTGGCTTAGAAGGCCTAGATGCCCTGCCTTCCCACAGTCTCAGGCCTCCATCCTACTCTTCCCCCGTGACTCCCCCCACCCGCTGGGCTCACACTAGTCCCCTACACACCAAGGCTACACTCAGCCTCAGAGCCCTGGTGCTCGTGCCCTCAAACCAAAATCCTCCATCATTTCCAGACATTTGCACCACCAACTCTCCTTCCGGAGCTACTCAAAGACAGGCTCCAAGCGCCACGCTGTTACACTCTTGAAGGGAAGGCACTTCCTTCACTGCTGTATTCCTAATACAGTGTTTACTGGAAATAATCTGGGTAGCAGGAGGATAACTGGAACAGGAAGTCTAGCTGAGACAACGTTTAACCTGAGACCTAAAGGGTGTGAAACAGCCAGCCATACAGAAGGCACAAGCTAGAGGTTTCCAGGCAAATAAAGCCACAGCTGAAAAGCCCTGAGGAGCTGCAGGGGCTTCTGCAAGGCAGGAGTGAAGCAGCACCTGAAGTGCAACGCGGGATGAAGTGTGCCTTTGTGCCTTGTAAACTGAGACAAGAAGAATCTATCTTCTTTGACAATGAACAGGAAGCTCTTAAGCGGGAAAATGACAGGGTCTGAATGTGTTTATTACTCTAGCTGCTGGTGGTATGTGGATTAGAGATGGGTTAGAAAGGAACTCCAGACGTGAGATGATGGTGGTTGGACTAGAGCAGTAGCAGGACAAGGGACGAACAGAAGGGGAGAGTTTCGAGATCCATGCCCAGAGTCGAACCAACAGAACTGCTGGTAGGTAGAAAGTGTGGAGGGCAAAGGAGAAACAGGAGACTAAGACGACTCTGAGGATTTGAGTGTAGGCAAAACTTCAGTAAAAAATGACCTTTTTCATAGTGGATAAAATTCAATTAGAGGTTGGGGAAATCTAACGCAGTAACTCACTAGGGAGAGGGAAATGTATACACACAGGGGATAGTTAGATATGCACAAAGTGTTTTTGGAAAGATACATATGACCAGAAGTTAATGAGGAGATCTTTTCATTGCACAGGCTTTTGTACTGTTTCTTTTTTTTTTAATTTCTTTATTTATTTTCGGCTGTGTTGGGTCTCTGTTGCTGAGCGTGGGCTTTCTCTGGTTGCGGCGACCGGGGGCTACACTTCATTGCGGTGCGCGGGCTTCTCATTGCCGTGGCCTCTCTTGTTGTGGAGCACGGGCTGCAGGTGCATGGGCTTCAGCAGTCGTTGCTTGCAGGCTCTAGAGCATGGGCTCAGTAGTTGTGGCGCACGGGCTTAGCTGCTCCGTGGCATGTGGGATCTTCCCGGACCCGGGCTTGAACCTGTGTCTCCTGCATTGGCAGGCGGATTCTTAACCACTGTGCCACCAGAGAAGTCCTGTACTGTTTCAATGTTAAGAAATTAAGCTAATGTATCACTTTTTTCCATTAAAAACTAATATTTTCAGCTTTAGAGGTACAAATGACCAAAAACGTTAAGATATTTAAAGTATGCAATGTGATCATTAGATACACAGACATTGTGAAAGAATTCCTGCCATTGACTCATTAACACACCTGTCAGGCCACATATTTACGTACCCTCTTATGGGGGGAGAACATTTAAGTTCTACTCTCTAGAAAATCTCAATGATACAATACAGTGATATCAACTATAGTCACCATCCCCAGATCTTACTAATTTTACAATTGAAAGTTTAAACCTTTTACCAACCTCTCCCCATTTCCCCTACCTTCAGCAACCACTTTTCCACTCTCAGTTTCTAGGAGTTCTACTTTATCATTAATATTTTTTTAAGGTGAGATCATACAACATTTGTCCTTCTGTGTCTGGGTTATTTCACTCAGCATAATGCCCTGTGTTCATCCATGTTGCTGCAAACGGCAAGACTTCCTTCTTTTTAAAGGCTGAATAATATTCAACTGAATGTATATACGGACCACATCTTCTTGATCCATTCATCCAACAACTGACACTTAGGTTGTTTCCATACCTTAGCTATTATGAATAATGCTGCAATAAACATAGGAGGACAAATGTCTCTTCAAGATAATTTCGTTTCCTCTGGATCATATGGTAGAGTTCTATGTTTAATTTCTTGAGGAAACTCCAAACTCTTTTCCATAGTGTATCAGTTTATATTCCCACCAACAGTGCACAAGGTTCTCTCTTCTCCACATCCTCACCAACACTTATCATTTGTCTTTTTGGTAACAGCCATTCTGACAGGTGTGAGATGACACCTAATTGTGGTTTTGATTTGCATTTCCCTGATGATTAGTGATGTTGAGTACCTTCATGTACCACGAAAATGGTCATTTGTATGTCTTTGGAATACTATTTATTCAGATCCTTTGCCCATTTTTTAATTGGGTTGTTTGGGGTTTTGCTATTGAGTTATACAAGTTCCTTATGTATTTTGGTTATCAACCCCATATTGGATATGTGGTGTGCAAATATTTTCTCACATTCCATAGGTTGCCTTTTCATTTTGTTGATGGGTTTCCTTTGCTGAGCAGAGGATTTTTAGTTTGATGTAGTCCCACTTGTTTATTTTTGCTTTTGTTGCCTCTGCTCTTGGTGTCAAGTCCAAAAGAGCATTTGCAAGACTGATGTCAAGAAGC